GATTGGTCGGTATATTCAGTTTCGTACACCTTAAAAAAGTAGAATCATATTCAGAGGCGGATACAGGATTTTTTATGAGGGGGGGGGGACAAACTTTAAAATCGCCAGACTAAGTTAATGATTTTTTATATTATACAAAAACAAATTGATTTTCAACGGGGGGGGGGGGGGGTCCGGACCCCAAGAACCCCCTAGATCCACCACTGATATTCTCACCAGTGAAGCACCTGTACACTGTGATAATTTGTTTCGTATAGTCAACGCTTATTTCATCTTTTCCTGACCATGTGTATAAATTTACTTGGCTGAGAGAAAGGCGAAAATATATATATGGTCACAAATTGATAGAATACCCGAGTTAGATTAATTATTCCGGGATATAACAAATACAGTTTGACGTAAGAGAACTAATTATGCAAATCAGTTGTTATATATGTCCATCGTTGGCATCCCACTTATGACTCATAATGAAATTAGCATCCAGAATGAGTCACGTGTTCGCACTTGGTGACAATCACGTGTATTCCGTCGGACTGAGGTCATAAAAGATCCATGAATGTGTTAATCTATTAAAATAAATTAGCCAATGACAGTGAATACAATGCTGCCCGGTGTCGTTTACTCATGGTAATCAGATTTTCAAAGGACACAAATTAACACCAACACAGAGTTTAAGCTCAAAATGAAACTTGAGATTAAATAACCACCTTTATGACATAACAGATGTATGTTTGAGGCAATGATCTGCAGCCTGAGAAAAGCTACTACATATAGACTCCCATGATTTACAGTTAGGACAGAGCGGATTGAATGGCAAGCTTGGTAAGCTTGATTTCGAGATGGCGTTGAGAATGGCCATGTTCGGTTGGGGTGTGATTTCCTCGGTGAGTTGCGCCCTCTATTGCATCAACAGGTTGCAAGCCGGCGCTAGAGTTGTCGACTGATGGCGCTTTTTTATGGTTTTGCCAGACACTCGACACAACCAATAAATGAAATATTAATCCTATTTTGAGCTGAATTACAGCATATAATGTTTTGACTTCAACTTCTTTTGGCATTTGATATAGAACAACATCTCCCTACACTTCGTGTGATTAAAAACTATACATCTAGATTATTCGTTGAGATTCGTTGAGACACATTTTCTGCAGTTGATTGTTATATTTATCATACTGTTCCCGCATTGTATGTGTTTTGTTGATGTTATAAATCAATAACGACAGATCATAGACACGACACAACACGTCACGACAATGTCTCGTCACTGATCGCCATTGGTAGGCATTTATAACGACCACACAATTATGTGTGCGCCGTGTGAACGTGTCTAAAACTAAGCACATTGTAAAGTGACTCCGTCGCACACCATATCTACATACAATGACGTACATTTGTGTAAACGACACTAAATAGCTAATATTATAGTTTACACGATGTTTTATTCGACTCGTATTGTAGGACTCAAACGAAACTCTGGGATTGCGCTACAATAGGCTGTGGGCAAAATGTCAAATACGTCGCCATTTTGGAAAGCTAAGCCTCTATCTCTCCGATGGTCTCTTACTCCCGGAGGGACATTCGAATTGGAATTTGATGCTGCAACACAAAAAAAAATCGTATTAAGGGTGGTTCACAAACTCCGCAAGTTCTTTGGTCAGAGTTATCGAAAAACTAAATATTTTGTTTTTTCAAAATAATAAGATGAACGCAGAAAGGGTTATTTTTCAATTTCTATGTCTTAAGTTCTCTCGAGAATCTGCCGCCAATCCCGAGGAATAAAAATAAAACATTGTCGTGATTTGTGTTTATAGTTGCAGTAGAATGTTCGTAGTTTACAACACGAAGTTACCAGATGAATGTCAACGTTTATGATATCTTGGTGATATGACAAGTACCCGACGAGACAAGATATAATACAATTATTTGGAGCAGTACATGAGTCGTGCCACTTTTGACTAATTGTTGATCGCCGCCTATAAATAATCTCCAACGCCAGCACGATACGGCAACTAGACAGAAAAAGGCAGAAACAGTGTCTAGACATTTATAACTTTGCTTCATCAGATCAATTCATGGTGCGATATAAAACAAATATATCACCATAGACCGTTTAATGCACACTAACCTATTGTGTTAAGAACCCATAACCCATATAAATATATTTGTTTCTATGGTCAACGTTGACTATGTTACATTAACGTGCATGTCCGCCCACCCATTCACACCTAGTCACGGTGATGTCGCGGCAAACTGGAAATTCAGACGAAAACAACAAGAACAATACCCTAGGTTGCATGTTTTTTTTCCCGAATATGATCGCGAACATAACAAACACTGAACAAATACCCATCAAAGTTATTTTTGCGAGACGTTGTTCCAAATTCGTTTAGCAAAATAAATGCTACTTTTTCCTCACCGCATGACAAAAATAAGTGCCCATCCACAGGTTCTTTACTTACGGGTACATTAGAATAATAAATAGAATAATAATGTTGTACGACACATAACAAGGGCACTGCTTCACACGATCATTTATGTATATACCAATTTGGTTCGGTTTGGCTCGGTTCACCACCAAAAAATAAAAATACAGCGAAGTCCTATGTGGATACAAGTAAAGCAGACAATATTTTCACATATTCATTAGTACCTGTAACAGTGATTTTATAGATGTATTATTCAATTCGGTCTCGTTCGCCATATTCACACCTCTTCACGTCTAGCCTCTTCCGTCGGTCACCTGAGTGCAAATGGTCTGTCTGCCTCAATTATGTTATCCCGTGTGTATAGTATTTTACAGACTGTTATACCATATATAAGCTTCAGAGTAAATTTGATTCAGTCATTATGAGTCAGTTTCACCCGTAGCAACATTCGCAATGTTAGCCGTTATTGTATTATGCGTGATAGTCGTCCCCGTGACACACGCTTTAATCGCCGCCTCCGCGGACGCAATTGTGCCGTTTTATTTCGGCAATATAGAGGACATCCTTATCTACTCGGACGATGACACATCAGTTAATTCAAAACAGAAGGGCACCGCTCAGATGAAGGACTTTGCTGGGTCGATCGATACATTAACGGTGGAGTTCAATCAGACGTTGCCAAGGCAACATGTTGCTTCAGCGTCGTATATGCTGGAACTTTACAACGCTCTACAGGACCACAACGGGCGTAATTTGAAATATGGAAAGAGAGCTATTCGAAAATCAGACACTATTAGAAGTTTCTCTGCAAAGCTTGACGGTAAGCATTGTTCGCCATTATTTTACATTCTTGGACAAAGTGACCAATGGTGTTCGATATTGGACGGCGTATATCAACGACGGCCATCACTCCTTTATGTCGATTCTCATTTGTCAAACACGCATGCTCAGAACACATAGTGGACTGAGATGTTTGTGATCTTCCCCGTATAAGCCTTCCCAAGTTGGCGTTTTAACTGATTTGTATCCGAATATACACCCTTTCCACGCTTAACTAATAAATGTATATACAATTTACTTGATACAGGTGTTACACGACATAAACCAACGTCTGAAGTACGACACCGTTACGTTTTTGATATCAGTGTACTGAATCGTGCGGATAAACTGCGTTTAGCGGAGATGAGATTCCCGTTTCCAGGACAAATAAAGAAGAAGCGAGTTCACGTCACACTCTATCAACTTTTCGAAACACGTTGCCAGGAAAATACCAACAATACGTGTTTTCGCGGAGAAGCTGTATCAACGCAGAGGGTGAAGCCCGGCGATCTTAACGGTGACGACAACATGGTCGTATTCCAGGTAACATCCAACGTTAAGCGGTGGTTGAAGTCACGCAATGGCGCACACATTATGGAAATCAGCGTATCCTACGATGACATTGTGGTGGAAGAAGTGGTTGACGATGTAGCATTGTTAGTTACATTTACGTACACCAACCTAAACAAAAAACAGAAGAAAATGACGACAGAAAGAAAAAAAGAAAACAGTCTAGATGAGAAAAAGAAACGCAAAAAGTACATTGACTTTGGTGAAAATGTTAAGGCACAGGAGAATGTTAGAAACGACAATGCGAATAGCGACACGACGAGGAACAGACGAGCTGCCGGTGATGCCAGACGTAGGAAAAAGAAGGACAGAAAGAAAGGAACCAGAGGCAGTAAGACAAACGAAGCGACAGATGTGTACCAACATCCGTGCGAAAGGGTAGAACTAATAGTAGACTTTGATAAGATTGGTTGGGGAAGTTGGATTATTTTTCCAAAGAAGTTCGACGCATATCAGTGCGTTGGTTCTTGCCCTGGTCCTGTTGACGGCGAACATAATCCAAATAACCATGCCATTATCCAAAATATGGTGCACACATCCAATCCAGATCGTGTTCCGCTGCCGTGCTGTGTACCTACTAAGTTGTCGTCACTAAGCATGTTATATTATGAACGAGGTAACATCGTGGTAAAAGAACACGAAGGCATGGTTATACAGGAGTGTGGATGCAGATAATACTACGATAACTACATACTTTATCATATGTTTACTATGTTATAACAATACAGAATATATTCAATAGATATTTAATAGATATTAAAGATCAGTAAATAATGAATATATAATTATTTTATTACTATGACTAGTTTGTGATAAAAGGGCGACAAACACCCAATCGAACCAAACTTCAACAGCGCCAACATGCCAACATGCGTTTATCTGTCGACTCGTCAATAACGTGGCTATAATATATATATATATAACGAAGCTTCGTAAAATAAACATTTTTGTAATATGAACAACATGCATTTATATTCTTCCATATTTCCACAACATACTGCGATCTAACACGACACATTGAATCATCCAAGAATCGTGAAGCGCCATCACATGATACGATGAACAGCGAGTCTCAGAAGTATAACGGTAGAAATTTAGCTAACCTGCTCACTAATTCGCCACCGACTTTGGTTTTGGTTTTGACTAAAATATATGACCTAAAATTATAATATTACCCTCAATTCTGTCACTATCAAATGCTAGAATTACCTTATTAATTTACAGTAGTTACAGGGCTGAAAAGTATTCAAATTTGTTTGCGATGGTCAAATCTATTTTTTCTTCAAAATCGTCAGCGAATTAGTGAGCAAGTTTGTTAATATGCTGTTCATTACTCCAGAAACTCTCTAACGATATCACTGTACATGTTTTAAATAGTTATCCAAGCCCCAACTGTCTGATTTATTTCGACGAAACGGGCCATAGTATTTGTAGGTTCGAACCAAATAAAACAAGTAGAAGACGTACTACGAAGTGTTGTCCTACTTGAACAAGCCGGCGGCTGGTTGGCAACTTGCTCCGCTAAAAATACAAACAATACGTTTTGGGCTGTTGTCCTGGTAGGACTTAAAAGTTAAGTTAACGTCAGTTTAATACTAAAACCGAGCCCCGTATACGAAATTCCCAAAGAGCATTCAGTCTTCAGAAGTCACTTCACTTCATCACTAGCGCGTATTCTGCTGTTATTATTTCCGACAGTTTTGCGATTGCATTTTTTAAATTCTTTGGTTGAACGCAACATTTACAGTTCATTCAAAGTTCAAATTTGTGCCTGTTGGGATTACGTTGCGCCGGTGAAGACCATTTGATCACTGCCATTTCAAGACTGGTGGGAGCTAATACATTTGGGCGAAAGTATTGAAAAATAAGTTTTTTTTTTACTGTTGCCATCGCAGCGGTGGGCCAGGATTTCTTTCCGATGAGTGACGGTATGATCTGCCTACCAAGTATAAACAAAATCAGCCTAGCCAAAAAAAAATCACAGAAGAGTTAAAATGCCGTTACTGGTGAAAAGTTACCAAAATTTTGAGACCAAATTTCTTGGTAATGAAAAAAGATATTAAAAAAAAAGTAATTTTGCGCCCACTTTCAAGCTGAGTAGGAAGAGCTACGTCGAGTCCTAGGTTTGTAGGAAGAGTTACATTTGGCTGAAGCTATTTGGCTATTGCCGGTGGGCCGGGAAATCATTGACACAGACAGACACACAAAAATGATTTTTTAGTGGAGCGAATCGCCAATAATCTTGACATTAAACATGCGGGGTACCAAATCCCATGAAGCGTTCTGTGTGCTGGCTGGCTGCTCTGCACAAAGCAGAGAAAAACAATTAAAATTTTCGATGTTCAAAATAGGCATTATACGTTTGTGTCATATAAAAATAATTCCCAATAATCAAAAGTTGTCACGTTAAAACTGTTTAATTGCTTGTATTTCGTATGAGAAACAGCAATGCATCAAACGACATAGTTTGTGGTTACGGAAACCTACACCAGTTTTGTTGCACTTAGGTCATTGACTGACACGATCACTACATTTTCCACATGATATAGTGGATAAATTCCAAAAACGGCAGAGATTCATAAATCCACTTGCCCATAGAGATATTTTGACTCTTAGACAAACTTAATTGAAAGTTAATTGATGTTTGCGAAAATTCTCCTTCACCGATTATGGTATTGCTAAATGTGATAAAATCTAATCTCAATCACGTCCCAGGGATTCAAGTAATCATGGCCAAGATACATTATGTAAACATTAGGCAAACTATTATAACCTTGTCTTAGATATGCAGCAAGACGCATGTAATGAACCCACCTAACATCGTGGGGTCGGCTAAGGTATCAAAGCATGGGACAGTTACAAATTATCGTTTTTGATGCAAATGATCACCTAAATTAACAAATGCGAGATCCATTGCAAATATCTGCATGTGCAATTTGAGTGAACAAATATGAGAAATTCAGTAAACGGGACTGCATTTGCATCGCTGAATATTTATGCTAGGCCATCATATAATGATCTGTAGTGGTTGTGTAATCATTAGTAATTTAGACTAATGAAATCTCTTTACCCATTAACTCGTAGAAACACTTAAAGACAATCTAGAACGCAATTAAATAGAAAACTCTACAACTGGTGTTTAACAGTTTCTACCAGAGTTTGAATCAGTGTCATGATTCAAGTTTTTAATCCAGGCTCTTAATATTGGCAACATTATCTGCCAAAAGTCTCCTGTAAAAGCTACTTTGAATCGGCACCTGCTCAGCACTTTGGATTCTGGATAATATATCATTTTTTTGGGATCTACTGCTTCCCATCTTCCTAAAACTAGACCCCAACTAATCTTGATTCAATGTCACCAGTTAGGTTATCAGCCAAAATCTGAAGAGGAAAATCCTACAATAGCTCTTTTTGTTTAATTCTCAGTATATGTAGTGTTAGAACTTCCATTTTAGATTGGTGGCATTTCAGAGAATCCGGGGAGGGGGAGGGGGCATTTGGGCATCCCAGTAACTTAATTCTCCTTGTGAGCGTGGGTTGACGAAATGTGCATTACCAGGATGTAAAAACTCGCCCCTTCTTGCAAACACTGAAATAAACAATCACATACGATAGAGACTGTATAAAAACTCAAAATATCAAAGATTATGTGCAGTTTGTCAATACTAGAAAACATTTCAAAACAAATGCAACTGGTACTCAAAAGGAATACACATTTCCTTGGGTTTTCGGACAACCTAATTTTTATACTATTAGTATGCATATCACAAAAAAAAACTAACTTGTCACTTTACCATACCCAGGTTGCAGATTTTATGGTTAGCCCAGTTTGATTTGATACTCTGCATTAAATGCACAGCGGAAAAGTATGACAGACAAAATACTATGCAATTGCAGAGCTAGTATTACTTCAGTCTACCTTAGAGTTCCAACAGAAGATAGCAATGAGATGCCACATTTGCAGTAACTCTGGTTGATAACAATCAACTTTTTGTCAGGGGCAAGCGGGCACAGGTATGGGTAATGAAGTTTGAGCTTGACAACGATTTTGAAAACCGCTGACAGGCAGTATATAAATACATGTACACTGCTTCACTAGTACAATTGTTCAGAGAATGATGTTAGAATACTTAGCTCTCACTCTCCGTACATGAACAAGAAATAATGACAATGAATTTTTTGTAAAACCTTTAATTGTGTAGAAATAAAAAGTAAGATATTTATACCCCCCCCCCCAAAAAAAACTAATCGCTTCAACCATGACTAATATCATGTTTTATCTGTTCTGTTCAGTCTTATCACCCGATACACATAACAATTACCGATATGTCAGTTATGCAAGGACGACACAAAAAATACAAGTTGAACACTAATTTCATACAAGGCTCAGCTGGAACTTTATGCAGAGAAATAATGCAAGTTACAATTTATCTCTGGTAGGGTCCCCAATCTACAAATGCATTCTCTTTACTAAATTAAAAACTGTCCAAACCTGTGGAAACTTGCCTAAAACCAAACCCTGTTCAGTCTCCATAGATTCTCTTAAATAAAAGACTTGTGAATTGAGTACTTCTGTTAACACATACATAACTGCATATTACATGTGCCAAAGTGGCCATATCGATATATGCAGTACATGACTTGACATGTGGGAATGGGCTTTATTCATACACCATGAAGGCCTATGATCTCTTGTAATTTTTTTGTCAGGTCCTTGTTCTGCGAGTTTTATTTACAAAGTCATCCATCTTTGATGCATGGCAGTCTACTACTGTCTGGGTGGTGGTCTCATTCCGGGTGGAGGACCTACAAATTGAAACCAACAAAAATTTAAGTATTTTATCTGAAATATTAGATTGCCTTCACTTATAATGAAACAACTTAGAAATACATCTACTCTTTCTATCTCTTTCTAACCCACAATCACCCTCCCTTTCCTACCCTCAGTTGTAATGAGCCAAACTACTATCCCCTCTTGTTTCCTACCCCACCCATCTCTGAACTAATTCTAATGTAACCCTCCTTTCCTACTCCCAAAATGGCCATCAGTTAGCCACCTTAAATCTTGAAAAAATAACATACACCTGCAATCCAATATGTATTATACCAAATTTGATTGCTATTGGCCAAGTCATCCAAGATTCAGTAGTGAAGATGTTATTATGATTTAGGACCATTTCCCATCCAAAATGTCTTATTTTTTGGCCAAATCAAGAACAAAATTGATGGCGTCTTTACCACAATTCTTAGTAGTCAGTCAATTGCATGTCCTAGAAATGGCTTGAAATGAGGACTACAAATCCATCTCCCTCCTCTTCCAGCCCCCACCTTCATAGCTACACTTTCCCTAAGCTTGTCTTCTAACAAAGCAACCCTATCTTACCTCCTCTCATCAATCCCGGGGGTGGTCTACCTCCCATCGGTGGACCTCTCATTAATGGTCCTCCCATTCCCCTCATTCCTGGTGGTGGACCCATCATTGGAGGCATGCCTCCTCTGCCTGGCATTCCTGGCGGCACTAAAAAAAAAGAAAAAAAGTATAGTATATACATACTGTAGGGATACACAAGACATTGCCAATTGTACACACTGTCCTTTCAAAAAAATCACT